CAGAAATCTCGGCACAATGCCTTCCTTGAAGGAGGGGTTAGAGAGAGCACAGGAGATGCCAAGGACAATAATAGAAGGGACTAGCACTAATCAGTTAGAGGGAGTGGGATCCATGATTGGGAGAAAAGAGCTGATTAAAGAACAGGCTCTGTCGAAAGAGGGAGCAGCTGTAAAGTACAGCATCTAGGACCAGTAGAACAGTGCAGAAGCTCAACATCCACTTGGTGGAGCCAGTGTTTTTAGGGTCATTGCACATACCTCACAGCTATACAAGAATCAATGAACAGGGCAGCCTGTTTTCATGGGAGCACTGTTACACATCATCCCAGTGCAAGGATGCAACAGTAAAGAACTTTACATGTGCTGATGTGCAGTGGGAACAGGAACTAGCTATTGTGGTCAAAGCAGAGGATTAGGAAGCCCGGTCCTTGGCACAAGGACCATTTCCCTTCTCTGTGCCTCAGTTTCTCCTCATCCCTCCCTGCTGCAGAAGCAGAGATTGTAATGGCTACCTCACTGCAGGAAGGGGTGCTGAAATTCTTCCTGTGTTCAGATGTGGGTGCCTGAAGAAGGACAAGGTGTTGCAGATAATTATTCTTCTGACTTGCCCTAGCTTTGATTTCTGTTGCAGTAGAGAGACTGATAGGAGCCCCTTCTCCAGCCCATGCTCCTCCACTGCTACCCCTCAGTGAACAACTGTGCTACTAGGTGCGAAGGACAGGATCTGACTCATGCTGTAAGTGTCAAAAACACCCCAGAGCAGCTTTTGCAGATCTGTGCTCTTCTAGACATGCTCCTTCACCATGCTACTTGTGCTTCATGGATACCTCCTAGTGTTCCCCCTTCATATCTTCTTCTGGGTCCTTTTTTTTGGTGTTTGCCTTGATGAAAAATGTCTTTCAATTGTAAGGCTATAGCTGCTCACTGGATCTCTGCGGAGCTCCTGACAAACCCCAGGGTCCTGACTACTACATCAAGCAAGCACAGCTTGCTAACTGTCGCTTTCTGTAGAATGATGCAGCAAGGAAAGGAGCAGGCAGACTTTGCTGTGGTTATTCCTGAGACAGTCATGGGAGCAGTGGGAAGGACATGAACTTGAGTGAACTGACCTAAGGCAAAATTCAAGGGCTCATATTAGTTTTTGGCAGCAATATCTGTTTGAGAGGAGCCTAGAGTGAGACAGACGTCTGGGTGTGCAAGAGGTATGAGCACAATCCTATTAGAACTGGCTTCCAGATGCTATCATCAGCTAAGGGATGACGGCTTCTCAGGCTGGCGATGGGCTGGGACAGATGGCAGCTTTCATCACAGAAAGCAAGGACAAAGAGCAATCCCAGTGCATGTGACCATGTACAAGACAAGGACCTTCTTCTGCACCTCCTCCTTCTCCTAAATATCTGATGTTCCTTCCTTGCAGCATTTGGGAAGTTGTTAAAACCTGAGAAGTGCATGCTGAAGAAATACCTCCAACGTGGGGTTTTTGCTCCAGTGGAGTAAGAGAGGGAGAGTGAGTGGAGGCTAACTGGAAAAAAAGTGTGTCCTGGGTCTTCCAAAGCAAAGTTGTGACCACAAGGCAGGCTTTCTTGTGATTGCAATGGTTTCACTCAAGTCTAAGCAGAAGAAATATGATCCAATGTTTGTAACAGTTCAGATGTGAACAAACATGAGCCTAGAGGCCCTGCGACTAAAGACTAGGTCAAGTAGATTTAGTTTCCTTTGGTCATTGAGCAGCTGGAGAGAATGAAGCAACCTGTCATGCATTCTTAAGTTGTGATTAATGAGACGTGTGTGCAACCGTTTCAAAGTAAGATGACACTTCAACAACAAGCAAACTAACAATCATTGCAGAAAAGATCTTGAGTGGCACAGAGAGTTGGACCTGTATTGCTCTCGCTTACCATGATAACTCGTATCTGTTTCTCTAGCAAAAATTGTGAAAGCAACGTATTTGATTACATGTACATTTTAAACTCTGTAGCCCTAAATATCATTGACCCTACTTTACTGACAGGTCCTTTGTAGCTAATGCACCCTGGGATTCTTCAATACACAACAGAAAGAGCAGAAAGAGTATATAACTATAGGTTTCATCTCCACGATTCCTGATACAGTGCTACCTAAAGGCATTGCTTTTATGTGTATTGTGCAAAGCTTTTGTACCTTTTGCTGAGCAAGTGATTAGAGCTAGCTGTGAATGTTCATAGGAAAACATGAGATGTGCCAATGAGGAGGAGGAAGGGACTTCAGGAAGTCCCTAAGCCAGGTTGCTGAGAAAGTATACAAAGATCAAAAATCGCTCCATAACTAGCACGTTTCTTATACACTGTCCTTAGGGTTCTGTAACTGAGATGCAGGCTAGTTGTTTAGATGGACCTCTGAACTGACTTGGAGTAGCCATTCTTTTGTCATTATTCTGCAAAAATTCTACGCTCTGGAGATTGTGTGGCATAGGTGAGTGTGTTCCAGTAACATGTTTTTGTGACTTTAATTTCCTTGCATTGTATTTTTCCCTGGAGGGTCCAGGCTAACTACTAGAGTCTGCAGGAATAAACGGCTAACCTCCACTGTTTTTGAAAACTGTGTAAAGACTTATTTGCATCTCCAGACATGTAATTCCTTTTGAAGTCCTGCTCTTGAACTCCAGAGCAGGTATGCTTTTATGGCTATTTGCTTAAACGCAACCAGAACATTTACAAACAGCTCTTCTGAAAAACGAGGGAAAAAAACCCATGCGCCTTTTGCTTTAATTTCCTCATATGTCTGAATGAACAGGGCAATCAAGAGAAGCAGGGCTTTGGGCAATACCTTAGAAGATAATTATTCAATTATTTTATGTCATGTTTGCTTCATTGATTAATGATTCTAGTAGCTGGTGAACTGGATTTTGTTCTGTTTTGACAGAAAAGGAAAGATTTTATTTAATCTATGGTAATTTCAGGCTGCTTGGTGTTGCAATGCAAGACTGTAGGTACAAGACTGTCCTGGCGGGGGTTCTGTAGTACACCTCTTGGTCAGATCTTTATTACTCACCTGGAATAAAATGAGCCCAGTTCCCCAAATGAGAATAATTGACTCAGCGCAAGGGCTCTAGTCTTTCTAACAGTACAGGTATATTTAATTCCATAACATAAAACTGAAGAAATAGATTTTGCACTGGTGACTGTTACTGGTTGGATAGTACAGAGACAGAATGTACTGGGGCTTAGAGTTTAAAGTTGGAAAAAGAAATGTACGTGCTCTCTCCCCTCTCAAGGCCTGCCAAAGTGCCCTGGTCTTGCCTTAGGTGGAGTAACAAGGTGATTATTTGTGCCAGACCGTGTTAGTGATCATGAGCAGGCCCCCTTCACAATCCATGTGTCTCCCAAAACCACACGCATGACCTCTGGCGTATAGGCTGGGTTTCCTGAGGTGGATTTCTTATAAGTCTGGATTTAAAATTTGTGTCCTCTGGCCCTTGCAGTTTCAGATGCACTCAGCTTGCAAAATTTTACACTCGTTTCTGAGTAGTTCAGGATTGTGTTGATTCACAGGGGAAGCTCAGAAGTGAGCAGTTTTCTTAGTATGTAAGGTAGTATTAGTGTCTTAAGATTTTGGGAGCATTGGTGTTTTGTTGTATTATAGGAATGTTTGAAGGGATTTTTGCAAATTAAAGGGTCTTTCATCTGAAAGTGGGGTAATAGGCTGATGATGAGCTGCTGCCTCCTTCCATGGGAATGTAGGAGATACTGGTTCAAAGTTCTGGTCCAAACTGGGCACAGCAGTGAGTTGACTTTGGTCCTCCCAGTCGACTGTGCTAACCAGTAGACTGCTCCTTTAGGATCTGAGTATATATAGAAGATTGAGGCAACAGACAAAATGAACTTCATGCCCCTAAATGTTAGGGAAATCCTTTGCAATTAATTACTGCTTGATTTAAAGTCCGAACTTTAATTTTCCTGCAGCCCACACAATTTTCCAGATCATTGGGCTTTTCTGGTCTCTGTATTGGTCTGTTTTCTTTCTACACCATCTCTCAGCTGTAAAAACCATTCCAGAAAAAAAAAGCTTTTTTGTCTTTATCAAAACTGGTCAATTTCCAAGAAAACTTTCTGTGAACTAGCATATATGACTGAAGAACTTTGTTGAAAAATTCCCAATGCTTCTAAATCATGGGTTAGAAATTCCTCTATTTTAAAAGCCAAGTTAATTTGCTCAGGAGAAAGAAAAAGAAAGGGAGATTTTTTTAAAGTATTCCAGAGTGTTTAACTAAATCTTCAAGACAAATAGAATCATAGATTCATATATTTTGATTTGTCTTTTGTATAATATAGGAAGGAAAAATACCAATGCAAGGAGTTTTGTGTTACTGAGATTTCAGTCCATTGTGTGCTGATTCAGCCATGGTGAGATAAATACCTTAGAGTATTAGATCCTTTCCTTGCTTGTTGCTGCCTAGGATCCCTTTGCAGGATTTTTTCAAGTACAGTTTTCACTGGAATATAAATGAAAGTATTTGCCTTTTCTCTGTATTCTAAATATACCTATTTTATCGTATGCCACTATTTTTCTGTATGATGCTGTGTAAGTCACTTCTTTCCTCAGTGCTTTAACCTCCTGCCTGTGTAGTAAGTATTGCTGTCTAACAAAGTTTTGCAGTGCTAACTCCTGCAACATTTGCAAGCTCTTCATGTTCTGTAGTGATGATGATGATGTTCATCTGTTTAGATGAACATCTGAAGTGATGTTCAAGCTCTTCAACATCATGTAGTGATGTTGCTAAGTATAGCCACAGATACACGGGAGAGGAAAAGGGCATCAGAGTCTTACACTACTAGGACCACTGAGGTATGCACCGTCAGTCACATGGTGATTTTGTGGCTGTATCCCTACAGACCTGTCAACCAAGATGACAGATGTTTTGGTACAAACATACGTCCTTCTGTGTCACTGGATCTTGCTCCCTGCTGTCTGTCTCCTGTGTTACCTGCTCCTGGCTTCATTTATGTTTCCTTTCATACTAGGTCACATTCAAGTGCTCTGTGGCAGTTGTGCAAGGGCACACAGCATTGGAAGGAGTGCTGCTCTTTGGTAAAGAGCACTTTTACATCTGTGAGTGCTTTGTGTTATCCCCTCTAGAAGAAGTCTACTGTACACGTCACTGCTTATCCAGGTAAGTCATTCTTTCCTCCCAGAGATCTGCTTGGTTAACTTCAGCATTGGCATATGGATACCTAGAATTTGTACAGACTTTGGGGGGCTTTCAAGAGGAATATTAGCACAGCAAGAAGTTTGCCATCCTTTCCATCTGTTCACAGAACTGTTTAACCTAACTAACATAGGTGCTTGTTCACAGGCTTTGGAGGTGCAAAAAGAACTCCCAGCTCCAATAGATGGAGATGGTGTGCAGCCTAACACATAGGTTGCTGGTTTTCAGTTCTTTTAAAATGGTGTTTATGTTTCTTTCTGACTGGCTCCCATCTTTTATTCATATGGAACAGTCATTACAAGAGCCTGTAGCTTCTTTGTCTCATAAGTTTTTTGTTTGTTTCTCCAAGACAGAATTATAATTAATATTTGACACACTGCTATCATCTTTGACTCATGATTTATTGAAACTGATCAATATTGAAAATGAGTCTGTTAGACTTCGCTCTTTGCGCATACTGTGCTCATGTGCAAAGCCCAGTGGGACAGTGAGTAACTGTTTTTACTCCCTGACTGTCTGCTCTGCATCCAATTCTTACTAAGTCCAATATCAGTCAAACTGATCAAGTGACTTAAGGATCGATTGGACTGGGTCCGATAAAAGATTGTTTTTCTAAAGGATTTGCTAGGGGCTCGGCTGTAGATAGCAATTGCAGTACATTACCCAACTAAAATAATAATGAATTAATTGCTTAATTATTAGTTCCAATTAACTGTTGTTTATAACAGCTGCATGTCTGTATGATGCTTGCTATGACCCAGGCTTTCAGGTTGTCCAACTCAGCTCCTTCCGTTGCTGCTTCTCAGACTTCAGTGTGTGTAAAACATTTCTGTCTGCTATTTGCATGCACTAAAATAATTCCAAACCTACCCTTAGCCTCCACAGGCTATTTTATTTTGTGAACTAGCACAAAATTTGCCTTCTGTGTTTAGCTTTGTTTTCAGTTCAGGTGCGCCCCTGTTGATCTTGCTATCTCTTAGTATTTTTACTCTTCAGGGAGGACTTGGATATTCCTGAATGCTGTCTTGATTTTTTCAAGTTAATTTTTCTTTCTTTATATTTTTCTCTTCCAGCATCAGTGATCCATTTATTTTCAACTTATGTCATAAAGATCATGCTGTGGGAGATCAGATGTGTTCCCGTTATTCATATCGTGATATAAAAGAGATTCATCTGATGCGCTATCTTCTGCAGGTAGAAACCAACATGCTCGGTCATCTGAGGGAAAGCTACAACAGCAGTAATGACATGCAACTGAAAACTACTTGCACAATTTTTATTAAGACTGCTGAGATTTCTTTGTTGAGTCCCAAACTGGTTTTGCTCCTATCATTGCTTCATTAGCCTTTGGTAATACAAACTCCTTCCTATATTCACCAGAGTGCTTAAGCACCCTCACTGGAGTGGTTGGCTCATTAGTTGTTAGGCTAACATTGTTCTTCACAGTTTATCTCAATGTTTTTGAAACTAAGACTTGAAGTCAAGACCCTGTGTTTTGATGAAAGCTCCCAGTGTCTGACGTTCAGTAATACTGAGCTCCCACAGACTTCAGTAGTTTTGGGCATCAGTGGATTATGGATATGTGTGACATGCTTACCTTAGGCTTTTTGGAGTAACTTTGAGTTGTGTATGTGAGTCAATAAATGAATCATAAGTCGGAGCAGAGGATTCGAATCCTCTGTGCTTTTAGCTGCACTACCCAGAAGCTACTCATCACCAGTGGCCTGGTACCCTTTTGTCTTGTTTTAAATGAACCTATGATGAGAATTACAGTAGAGATGCAGCTAGAGCTCCTTGCAGCACCAGAGCCTGTACTTGCTCTAGAGGATTTTGGTACAGTCTAAAGAGTAATTTACAGATTTTGCCTGACAAAGATATGGAGTTTTGAAGCAGACATAACTAGTTACTTCTTCGTTTGAATCCATTTTTGGAATGTTAAGATTCAACAGAAAATGCAGAAATTGTTAGGAAAATTTAAAAGCTGGAGAAAATGAGGCTGATAATTGTTTTATGTCATATAGTATGGCACTCATCCATGACTCAGCCCTGTTTTATTTTATATTTAATTATGTATGCAAAATGGACAATTTTAGTAGGTGAGACTTGCTTCAGGATATAGTATATCTCAGCAGTTGGGTCACTGCAAGAATGTATAGGAATGTTAAGTATTGTTCTAAGTAACTGTATGGAGCTTACTTTTTTATATCACTGGTGAGCAACCTGAGCAACAGAACTGTCACCTCTTCTGTGTTGTGTATAGCATCACAGTTGCCACTGGAATCTTGGTGCCTTCTCATATACTTGCATATCTGTGTATCATGGATTTTTTTTAAACACATTAAATCGAGATCTTTTATGTGACCCAAAGTGAAAAATGGACATGAGTAAAAACAGTCTTTGAATGGGCATGGGGCAAAGGTGGGGCTTAGTTTGAGGGTTTTTTGTGTTTTTTCAGTTGTGGGGGTTTTGGGTTTTTTTGTTTATTTTTGCTTTGTTTCAATTAATGAGCTGAAAACTCAGGTTCTGTATCAGACTCTCAAATTCTTGCACTGGGACTCCACTCCACAAACTGCTTTGAAAAAATATTGTAGAAAAAGAATAAAATTGATTCCTTGTGCTTTCCCTGTTTGACAGGCAGATCAGCTGTTTAGGCAGCTACTGTGCCGCAGAGAGCTGATCTGTTCATGCACATAACCCAGCTCAGAGCAAAGCACTGAAATGAAACCGCATGGCCCGATTCTGTAATGGTGACACTTGATTTGGAAAGCTGAGCTTCAGAGCAAATGCTGCTCTCATATTACCTTTCTGCTTTATACCTCGTTTGTGATCATGGACGGAGTAGTTGCCATTGTATTTTTCTAGATTTGTATTGCACCTGCCACATTTGGATTGAAACTCATGACTGGGTTCCCAGACACTACACGTTATTTATAGTGTTACTTGACTTCAGGAAAAAAAGGACCACTCACTGAGTAAATAATAGGATTACGTGCAAATGTCCAATGTAGCAATGTGTGGGGACATTGTGGAAAAAAAGGGGGTGAAGTTTTCAACTTTGATTATTTAAAGCTTCAGTAAGAAATGTCATAAACTCCCCTTCCTCCTCTGCTGCTTCTAGTCAGAAGAAATTATTTTGGCGTTTCTGTTGAGCTCACTATTCATTTAGAAAGCAGTATGGTTGCTTTCTAAAAGAATCTTATTTAGCATCTCCTCTTCATGTTATCTTTCTCACCTAATTAGAAGTTAGTGCTACTAGTGTCTGGTTGATCACACTGAGATTTCAAGATAAAATGCTTCAGAAGCAGCAGGAGGAGGCAGGTGATGGAATCAATATCTGGAGTTTGGTTTTGCTTCAGAGAACTAGTCAACCAAGCAGGACCATTCCTACAGTTGGAGAAACTGGGAATATTAGGCATATTTAGCTACACTTCTTCACGCTTGATACAAAGTCAGGGCCTTTTTATTCTAAAACCCTAAAGAACTGGACAGGCCATGATAGACTGCTTGTAGCACTTGGCTTCGCTGTGCAGCTCTTCACACTATAAATGATTTACCTTTCCAGGAGATCGCCTTGGAAATATTCTTCAAAAATGGTTACTCCAGATTTCTTGTCTTCCATGACAGTGACCGAAATAAGATATTTAAAAGGTAATCACTACATCATAATGACATGTGAACACTCAGGTGACTTTCCTGGTCTATTGCCCCTATTTGTCCTAGCTTCAGATATGTGTCTTGTGCTGCCCCAGGGGCTTTTTCTTCCATTGAAGCTCTTTGGTCTTTAACAGGTTACACTTAAGCAAAGCTATGAAATTTTCCTTTTGCTGACCTGTGAATTCTTCAGTGTGTTATATAGCAATTGGTTTATCAAGGGAGTTAATGCATGTGTAGGACTCTTCTAGCACCCAGTGGTGTGTTGTGTGTCCTTGCATTCCAGAGATTGCGATCGTAGCTGTGCTGCTTCCTCTCACTTTGAGAGCGCTACCTCCATCTCACCTCACAGTACTGGTTGAAAGGTTTCTTCCTGCTATGTCTTCCAACACATGAAATGTCATTAGATTCTTTAGGAATAAAATGTTTTTGTCTCTCTGACTTTGTATCTTTAGTGGGGAGTTAACTTTTAACAATGGAATTTTTGTCTAGAAAAGATTTCTCCTTATGTGCTTGTCTTGTTTGATGGAACCAGAATGTAAGACTATAAACTGATTAATTTGCGCTTTGTTTTCTTGCATTTTTTTTTTCCTACTGCAGTTCTGGCCATTATATCAGGTTTACTTTTGCTGTCCTTTACACAGGAAAAATACTCCAATATGTAGTACTTCCTGTGGTAAATTCTGCAGCCTGGGCTGAGCATTGGTACTGTTAATTTCTAAACAAGGATATAAGTTCCTTCTGCTCCTGAAATCTCTGAACAGTTTCTAATGGAGCATTGCTTAGTCAATGCAGATTTATCCAGTTTTCCTTTCTAAACTGGCTGCATAGTGTGGCTACTTAGAATCAACAGGTTCTGCCCCAGAGCCAGCTGCTTCATTTAGCCCTTATCTTTGCTGTATCTCTGACAAACACCTCTTGGGGGAATCTTGTAGAGGTAGTTCAAGATAATACTTTGATTTTCAGCTATCTGTATTGCTGCTCAGCTGAAGGTCATCAAACCTATGTATTTGGAGGGTTTAGTATGTCTGACATCATAAGCCCTCATTGAAAGTAAACATGAATGGCTGAGACATGGTTGGTATTCCTTTCTGCCATTTTTGCTAGATAAATGTCTGAGTGGGTTCTCATTCTCTGGCTTTAATTAATAGCACCTTAAACCACATGTTCATAAGTTCAAGGCCCTATTTGGGAAAGAAACTGCTTTTATCCAGTCCACAGACAACCCCTTAACATTAAGTGTGTGCTCTTGCTGTATTGTCTTGCAGCTTTGTCTTGAGTGAGTCTCAGTGAAATGCTACGGCATCCTTCAGGAAGAAAGTTCCTGTCAGGATGTGACATAGATTATATATATATATATCTAATGTATACAGAAAACAGTTTAAATAATTATAATGTGAACTTTCTTATCTCCTATAGGTTTTGCTCTTTCCAACCTGCTTTAAAGTCAAAGGGGATAACAGAAGAGTCCCTGAATATAAGGTAAAACATAGGGAACATTGTATAATTGTAGATAAGTGCAATTGTGTGAATAAGCTGCACCTTAAAAAAATGCATCTAGAAACTTACCTGTTTGTGTCCCCTATTCTAAAGATTCAAAAGTGTCCCTAGAGCTCCGAAAAGCATTCTAGTGTACACCATCCACAGTATGAAGACATGAAGAACATGCTGAGTAGCTGACTGTGCACAGTTGATGAATAATTATTATCTCTTTAATATGACTTTATTGGTAAACTTAGCACAGATAGTTAGTGTGAGAAAGAGACAGTCAGTGAGCTGAGGTTAAAGCTAATCCATAAGGCTGCTGCTAATGGCCTCTTTATTGTGTAGTTAGGGCAGACAGTGATAGATGTACACATGGATGTTATGGCATCTTATAGTAGCTGTGCACTGGAGACTCCAACTTGTTGTCCCTCAGATTTACCACTGCAGGGGAAAAAAAGTTTTCTCCTAGTGAGAGGTTGAGACCATGTTCCATGCTGACCTTGAGTTACCTGCATACCAGTAACGCTTCTCAATTTGGTATCTGAGGAACACAACCCTAAGTGTCTAATTGGTGTCCTCTGAAATGATCACCTGGAGGCTAGAATACTGTTGAGACCTGAGTGGCAGTCTTGCAAGTGAGTATTTTAACTTCTGAGTACCAGCAATCAGCTTGCCAAAAGTATCAGTGCAGTATGCAACCATCTTTGGCTAAAGCCAAACCTGTGCCAGGGGTGATAGTTGACTCTATGGAGCATGATGTGTGTTCTGTGTGGAGTCACCAATAACACACCCCAGGGTTTCCTTTGCTTGTGCTTGCTGGGTGCTCAACAGGTGGGAGTGTCTTGAGATAAGATGCTGCAGGAATTTTGGGCTTTAGCTGGGCTTGTGATTATTATGAGAAACACTTAACTCATGTTTGATCTCAGAGATTGAAGCAGGCTGTATGTCTTGATCTCAAGTAGCCTGTCCTGGATCTCACAAGGCTCTGCCTTCAGTTTTACTTCACTGGCTGAGAGGGGACCCTATGTACCTTATTCACTCTGAGTATGTAAGGGGCCTTTGGCATAACTTTGGCTGGGCCATGTTACAGCATGAGCTAAAATGGAATAGACACAAGATGGTGCCTAAGTAATGATTCCAGAAAAGTTGTGCTTAAGTGGAAAGTTAGAGAAAATTATCCCAGTCAGCATGCTTCCCTTTACCAAGATCCAGTCTGGCAACCGAAAGACTGAGGACGTGATGAGTTTCCTTTCCCTCATTTGAATGCTGGAGCCACTTCTGAGTTTGAAGAATTCAAGAGCAGCACAAAGCACTCCTTCCCATTTAGGGACCAAAGGCCATCTTCTATAGCCCCCCAGCTCTTTCTGCCCTGCCTGAGACAGGCCAGACTAAGCTCTTTGCCCAGACACGCTATGAGTAATTGCACAGCTGAAGAATAGAAAGAAGAAATTACTAGTTTGATGTATCATATGACCTTGAGGTAGTAGTGTTTCTGAGAAACACCATATCAGTTTTTCCACCTAGTCCATAGGAATAATACACAGGAGTTCTGACTCCTGGGTTCTACTGTAGCCATTTGAAAAATTATATTGGGCTGTTACTGGACAACTGAGTACTTTGCTCCTGCTACTTTATTCTTGATTTAAAAATACTTAAATGTTTGCTGTCACCATATGTTACTATGGCCACAGCCAGCATCTCATCTCGTGTCATACTTGACTGCTTTTATAATCTGCTCATTGCTTGTACCTCTGTATATTGCTGTTTGCAGGCTGTCAGCACTCTGCCCTGGGAATGTGATTTGAGCAAGTAAATGTGTGTGCTTAGGTCCACATGTGAACAGAAAGCTCAGCAGACCTGATTTCAACAATTCACCAGCTGTTTCTTGAATCACGAGAGTGACTCTTCTTCTGTTAGTCACTGCTGAAGTGATAGGCCCAGGACGCTTAAAAAGACCAATCTTTTCCCTATTCCTCCTTTCTCTACCTTCCTTGTAGGGAGACTCAGAGGCAGACAAAACACAATTGAGTATAGGTAGTGGTGCTGATTGTGTCATGCAAGTTAGAGATCACTGCACCCAGTTATAGCACCAAAAATCCCAGAGAACTTGCTTGTGCAGAATCCGGCTCCTTGATGGCAGACAGGATCACTGGTTGTTTAGCTCTAAGCATTGTGTTTGCACTGCTTAGTTACTCCTGACCATAACATTTGTGTCTGCTGCCTCTGCTGAATTGGAATGGGCTTATGGTTCCTACACTGACAGTGCCTGTCTGAGGTTCTCAGAGAGGCTGGTGGCAGCCACCAGCAGCAGGAGGTTCCCGGGTCTATTGCCTTTCCTCCAAGTGGTATTTACTGAGACTAGTTTAACTGCGTCTCGCGCTATGAAAATGAACAGGACTAATGTTTGGGACTCAGTGGTGGGAGTGGAATTACCAGAAAAAAAAACCTAGAAAAATCTTTTTGAAGATTCCTCCACTGGACATATGCACACACAAAAGACAAAAAAAACCCCACACAAACCAAACAACAAAAAAACACAAAACAACAAACCGAACAAACGGAAACATAGAGAACATGTAGGAACAGACCCAGATGGAAATAGTTCTTCCTTTCCCAAATGCACCCTTTCCGAACTATACATCTGGTTTAGTTGTTTTGGATTTTGTTTTAGAGAATACGCGGATCTGCTGCTTCTAAAACTGAGTAGATCTTTAAAGGAAGAGAACTGAAGGAAAAGGGAGGAGCAAGGTCAGCTGTTTATTAGCTTGGGCTGGACTTATGGGACATGGTCTGTGGAGTGCCTTGGTAGATTTTAGGGATGTTTGCCTCTTAATCTCCATTCTTCTTGGTTATCCTTTGCAGATGAATTGGGTGTAAGGAGTAAAGGGAAACTTGGCTTCTTTGAGGGGCTGGGTGTCATGTTCTTTAACTTGTTCAGCTTGTCCCTCTCATCCTGACACATCTTCAGGCAGGAAAAGCACAGGTCTTTCTCTTCTACTAAGTGAAGCGTTTCTATGCGTTTGATGGAGTCAGCATGCTCTTCTTGCTTTGTTGAATCTAGGAAAGGGTTTCTTTTTGCATTGAGTTTCTTGAGCTTGGGGAGATTTTTCACACTGTTTGGGATGGTGGTCAAGGCATTGTCAGAGAGACCTATCTCCTTAAGTTCCTTCAGGGCCCCAAGACTGGTGGGAATACTGTCAAGACAGTTTAAGCCAAGGTTGAGAATACGCAGGTTCTTGAGAAGGTTTAACTCCTCTGGCAGATTTTTGGTGGTCAGCTTGTTGTTGCATATATTCAGGTAGAAAAGGTTCTGAAGTGTACCTATTGCCTCGGGCAACTCCTCAAGCTGATTACTATGCAGGTCCAGCCAGCGCAGTTTCTGGAACTTCTGGATGCTACTTGGAATCTTTTTTAACATGTTTCTGCTCAAATCAAGTTCATCCACGTCAGCTAGTTTCAGAATGCAGTTGGGGAAGGTGGTGATACCCATCTTACTTAAGTCAAGACGGCGCCCTCCATCAAAAGATATCCGGATGGAATTTTTGGCAATTTTCAAGGTGATCTTCTTTCCCTTTTGACTTTTTGGTTTCCCCTTGGCCATCTCTCCTCTGAGAGACAGACAGACACACCAGACTCGGTGGATGAAATGTGGGAACTCCAGTAAAGCTTTTGAAAGCAGTCGCTGTTACTTCCTGATTAAAAAACAAAATAATCAATTATAAATTAACATATGACCGCTGGACTATTCAGAATTCTTTTTTTCAAGGTCAGGACTTTTCAACCCTGGAGCTGCAACTCTGAAAGCTCTCCCTGAAAGTATTTGAGTAGGTGCAATTCTAATAATTTACAATATTATTTTATTGCATTGTAACACCTATATTGCATTACAGAGTGAAATTACTCGTGGGACAAATTTGCTGTCTTTTATCTCTAGATACTAATCTGAGCTCAGCATGTAATGAAACTGAATAAAATGTGTTGTTATCCATCAGCCGTGTGAGGACCTGAGCAAAACATATTGTGGGTCTCAATCCAGTCCTTAAGGACTGCACAAAAACAAGCTATCCAAAATTGTATTTGTTCTACCAGACCAACGGGTTACTTGCTTTGCAGACCTAGCATCTGTTGACAGGTTGGTTAAACATCCTGTTTAATGGACCTGAGATGTGGGTTACGGATGCTATTGAAAGATTAAATATTTAAAGCAAATGATTGAGAGTCTTGTTTTAATTAGGGCTTCAGGAACATAGTGGGCTCCTAGATTGGCCAGGGCTGCTTGCAGTTCATGCATCTCCTGCAGGGCAGACTGCAACAGCAGGTCCGTGTCAGTGCTGCTTAATGACATGTTAAACCAGGCCCTGGTAAGTGTCTCCTGTGCTTTCAAGGGCAGACTCTGGATACTCTAACCTTTTCTTTCCATCCATGGTGTGGGATAGATGGACTCCCATTGTGAAGGCGCCCTGCCCTCAACAAATGTTCTGGTGTTCTGGTCAGACTTTTGACTCATACTGATGCTCAGCATGTGCTAATGCTTAGTTGAATTGAGACCTGTATGCGTCGTAGCCCACTGCAGTCTCAGGTTTTGTGAATGATCTCTCTAATTTAAGATCATCAAATACAGCTGCTAATGATGGCTAGTGACAAAGGAAATAGGGTGATTCCCTGGAAATGGATGACAACGTTTCTCTCAGAGCGCAGACAGGAGCATGGCTAATCTCAGGATGATCTGGGTGTTCTGGCATTTAATTGTGAAGAGTCAAATTACAGCTTTGATGAATGATTGTTTGGGACAAAATATAGATTTGTCTACAATACATTTCGCTATTAGAAAGGCTTCATTACAAACCCTTCAGGCTTTTTTGCTACTCATTAATCATGTGCAAATACATGAAGGGGAAGCTCAGGCTACAACTAGGGCATTTCAGCTTCTTTTCAATTACATGCCACAGCCAAAAATAATGCAAAAGCAAGGAGGATCTCTGCCAGTTACCACCCACCCTCCCAGGAGCTCTGTAATGAGACAGATGCTTCAGAAAATCCTGGAAGCAGCACAGTGGGGTCAGTCTTGCCCTGAGGGTATGTTCCAAAATAGAATCTTTGTTATTTTATATAAAAATATTTAAACACAGGTAAATCTTTGTGTCTGTCACTCCCCTGTTTCTGTCTGTCACCAGTAGTTACAGGGCCATATCACTGTTATATCTGAATACCTCTCACTCTTTGCTGTATTTATCCTTAAAATGCCCCACGGACAGTATCAATGCTATTCTTTCCGTAGTATAGACTGTTAAGTGAAGCAAAGTACTCTACAGTGGAAAATTAATCACTTTTTCCACCTTTGTTGACATTAGCTTAAATAATTTGCCCAGGAGTGGGTAGGAAGTTCTGGAGATCAAAGCAATAGTTTTTTAAATCACAAATCACTCATTTTAAGGACATGATGCAATATTCTTATTGGCAATTCCGTGAAGATAAAGTTCAGCTGCATGGGAAAGGCTGGAGCCCTGCTGCTGGTACAGGATAGCCTGAATCCCTTCACAGAGGGTAACTACTATGCTTCAGAAAAAGATCTGCAGGGCAGCTTCCTTACGCTTTGGCAGGATGGAAAGAGACTTTCTGCTTCCTGCAATTGATGTGAACCTAGTGACTTTTGGGTCCAACTTTTCTTTTGTTTAAATTTTGTGTTGAATGAGTGGACCAAAACATTCAGCGCATCTTGATCAGTGAAGTTTTTCAGCCAAGGATGCCTTTCAAACAAATGAAAGGGACCTCAAGGAAAAATACATATTGTTTTCTAAATTCAAAATAATAATTTCTTCTAAAAATGCTTTTTAGAGCCTCTTTAAAACTCTCAGAAAGAAAATATTTTGTTCAGTTCCTAGGTGTTTTTTTTCTATTACTTTTCATTTAAAACACAAAGGAAAACATTGATCCAAAACAGTTTCCTTTCTTAAAAATACCAGCTAGCCAAAATATCCATCTGTTCTGCAGCTGCCTGCTAAGCATGCCTGGGAGCGCAAGAGGGAGCCTGGTGGAGAAGGCTGAGCCCTGGAGCCTTCTCAGGACTAACTGTACAGTTTAACCTTTTGGATCTGGGTGCTTCTCTGTCAATAACCCTTGCCAGCTTGTTACAAAGTTTGAACTTGGACCTTTCAGATTTTTCAGAAGTCCGAACAAACAGATCAGTGTCGTTTTCCTGAAGACAGATCTCACTGAGCATTTTCCAGTGCATCATACAGGCTTCAAAGAGATTTAATGAGCTGAAGGTAGGGTTAGGTCTCCTTTAGCTGGATTTTTTTAAAATCCTAACATGGACCTCTAAGATGCACTGATCAGGAAAACATGAATCCCTGGCAAGTACTCACACTTTCCAAGTGCTATTTCCTTTGGGTTAAAAGGGGGAGCCACATTTCAAACTTAGAAGAGGTGATTTTCAATCCCGGAGATAGGGATTAGCATTAGAGTTATGCAGAAACACCACAGCACACCCAACAGCTTAAAGGGGATGAAGAGCTCTCTTGTTTCTGCATGCTTGTAAACTAATTATCAGTATTTCACAGGGCTGTAGCTGGAGATAATGGAGCTTACTTAGCCATGTCTCATTTTCTTTAGCTCTGCGTAAGAGGCTCCAGTTCTGTAGCCACTGATATTAAAAATTCAGGAATCGCAGGAGCCCTCCTTGCTGTAAATGTTAATTATGCCTGTTTGCTTTCATGCTTGCAGTGCATCTCCTGGGGGAGCAGAGGAAAAGGTACGTGTTTTGCCCTACTGCCTAAGAAATGATGATGACAAAAGGGAACCTCTTTACTCATTTTCTCTAAACCCTCATCCCGCTGCCAGGTTCACCCTCGGAGTTGCTGGCAAGCCTTTGCCCAAGGATGAAGGTGCTGTATTTCTATGTGACAAGGTCT